TGAGCCCACATCGTGCTGTTAAACTGAGAAACTGTCTGCCTCTGTTTGCCCATTAGCCGCCAGCGAGTAGGTCGAACATGTCCTTACTCCTCACAAGGGCATGGAGAGCTGATCTGCAGCTCCTGAGGTGCATTACATTGGTTCCCAGGTTTAATGGATTAAAAAAGTTCATGCTGCTGTTTTTATTGATTTGCATTCCCTCCTTTCCGATAATATTTCTATCTTTCTCCTTGTTCCATTGCTTCCTGTTGCCTTTTTGTTCATATAAAGAATGTTCTACTCCATTGTTTTGTCCTGCCTTCCTATAGAATTTATTTTCTGCACAAATCCATCAATCTGTGGGAGATGAGTTTTAGCCTCTTGACTACGGGTTCCTCCGCAGTGTTCCTCGCTGACATCCTCTCTATGTCCAGCAACTCTTTACTTCTTCTTCCTCCCTTGCTATCTCACCTCCACACTCTCCATATCTGTTCTTCTGTCTGTTCTGCCGCCTCCTGCTCCACCTCCCACTGACAGACAGACTATCACATATTCAGAGACTTCAAACATGCTCCTTCCCAGAGTGCTCCTTGGAAGAGAGCTCTAGAACAACTCTGAATAAGTCATCAAATCAGCTGTGTTTTTCTTTTTTACCTATCTCCTGGTCCGTGCGCGGTTTTCTCTCCACTCGCACAAGTATTTACCTCTCCCTTCAGTTGTTCCATATCTTACTTTTATCGTGCTTACTCTGTCTCATTGTTGAACTTTCCCCACCTGTTTATGTCCATCACTCCTCTGCATCCATCCAAAATATTGCTTTACTCGATGTGTCACACATTTCTTCTTTGTCTGCCCACCCAGGGATCTGACAGGATACTCCAATAACATCCTGGCTCCAAAGGAATTTCCACTGAAATTGTCTTTCCCTTTATTATTTCATTTACAGCTCGAGAAAAGTGAACATCTGTCTCGACATACAGCAGGACGACAGCTGTAGCGATTGAATATATACATAAAACACATGCAGTTGCTCGGGGCTGCAGCCAGTAGGAAAGACAGGTTGGTTGTCGAAGGTGTTGCTGCTCTCCCATCTACTCTAAAATAAGTTGTTCCCATGGTAACTCTGCCAGGTCTGTTAATTGACTGTCAAAATGTGTGATTCTCCAGGATGAGGAAAAATCCTGCAAACAACTGTATAGCATGGAATGAATAGGCAGGTAATCGCATCGCACATCTGCCACCAGAGATGACAGTAACAGCTATCTAATGAAAATGTTAATCATATGAGCTATAATGAAATTGTAGAGCCTGTGGACCCTCACACAGGAGTACAAATGTGCAGAGGGCTTTAATTGAGAGTGTGTATAGTGGATAGATGTCTTAAAAAAGCAATATAATCCAATTTAGCATAGCAGCAACATAACCTACCCACACATGGATGGCAGTGACGCACATCTCCTCTGTATAAATCTATGTGGGATTGTTTGAGAGAGCAGGAGTGTGTTAGCATGTGAGTGAGAGCCTCGTGTTGCCCGAAGACACCTTGTCCTTGTTCTCAAATAATCCACAGCGTGGAATGATACCTTGAGAAAGGTTTAAAATGGATGAGGCACAGATGCTTCCTGACAAAAAGACTTTTCAAAAGGGTCTGACTTAAACTCTGGACATCAGAAAGAAAGTTTAGACGCCTTAATTACCATCCTGTAGATGCATCAGAAAGAAAGGCAGCTACACATCAATGATACATAACATCCTGAGTCATTCTGTAATGAAAATAAATAAATAATAAACATCAGCAATATTCTAATTATCTGGACAATGTATATCAAATACATTTTGATTATAATTTGTAAACTAAAAACTAACAAAGGCAGATATCTGCTGTTTGTTGATGAAGAAGCTCCAAAACACTTACTAATGCACCGACTGTTTCCCCTTACATGGAATAATATTAAGTATCTCAAAATTGAGCTTAAGTGGAGTATATGAAAAATCTACTGAATAGCTTTCCACCACTGAAGGACACTCAGATTAGAATAAACAAAACAAAAAAATGTAATTGCTCCCCACCGTCTAGCAACACTAATAGCAGCATTAAAGTCTGACTCGGTGTGACGCTGGGCTTTGTTTCCTTCAGTGTGAGCTATTGATCCATGGCAGTCTCGATAAAACAACAGTAAACAGCACAGAGACTGTATATAATCTGCTCAGGTAGCACTGCAGCTTTAAAGCACACACACACAGACAGGTTGGGGATCAGAGGAACGAGAGGCAGGGATGTTAATCTCTCCAAAACACACCTGCATGCAAGAGAATACACCGTCGCATTACAGACACAAACTGCCTGCTTTTTCCTTATCTCTCCTTGACGCTCCATGTTGCTGCCTATCTGCTCCACCCCTTGTCACTCCACATTCACATCCACACATACCCCTGATTTGTCTTAGTTGTATGCCCAGTGATGAATAAGTATCCTGGCCTATTATATTGCTCATGTTTCTCTATAACCACAAAGCGGGCTGTGTATTACACTTGGAAGCCACATCTAAAGCAGACCCTGTCTCTTGTTAACAAGGGCCCTCCTCAATTACTCTCCATCGAGACACTTGCTAAAATAGCCACAGTGCCCTTCCTCCCCCCGACCCGCTCCTCCTCTTCCTTCATCCATCCACCTTTATTATTTAGAACCATGGGGATCTGTGTTGCCATGGATCCTGTCGTCATGGCTACAAACAACTACGCACATGTACAGGAAGTGGAGAAGGACGAAAGAAAAAGGAAAGAGTTCAGGGCGATGAGGGGGCTTGAAGGAAGCTTAACATCTGCACTGTGGCCATCCAGCTGTGATAAGTCGCGGGGGTCAGGGCGGGGGGGTTAAGTCGGAGGGGTCGTCCATCACATGTTCAATGACAGATGGAGGTCAGGGTGAAGCATGAGCCAGATTAAAGCATATGTGTGGGGTTCCTGCTGGTTGTTTTCTTGATGTCTCACAAGGGACATCTCAGAGCCTTTTGCTGGTCTAACCTTCATCACTTTCCGAGTATTCAGAGAGCGTCTTGCATTCATTCATGACAGGAGTAAACTCTGCCCACATTTCAAATCTCCAATGTGTGTGTACTAACAGATAAAAGGTTCTCCTCTGTCTGCACAGCCTTGAAGGACGCAGGGTGATTTACATAGAGCTGATAAGAGTGGAGTTTTATCAGTGTTGACGGATAACTGACGGTTTAATTCGGCCGTGCTGAAATGAGTTTGCAGGCGCGGCCTTGATTTGTGAAGCATTGCAGTGACACTCCAAGGATCCTGTGGAACGCTTTATTCTCAGTAATATTGAGCAAAAGTGGTGTGAAATTGAAGCACACAGAGGCAGCATGTGGTTAGTGGTTGAACAACAGTTTGAGAGAGGTCACTTCCTCTCTGCAGCCGTTAAACTGGAGGGGATTTAAGGACAAAGCGTCTGTATGGGGGCTTCCTCTGTCAAAAGGAACTGCCTTTGATAGTAGTTCCTCCATGGCATCTCACTAATGAGGGAGTTCTTCACTGGGCTGTTGATCAATAGTGGATCAATTGGGCTCATCTGATTTTTATAAGGCTCCAAAAATTAGCTCTATATGATTCAAACATGGACCAAGCAGGATTTAGGTTAAAAACAGAATCATGCAATTGAAGAAATGCATTGGAGGCAAACAAAATTACTATGATGTTAGCTATAAGTTATAGTGTGAGCACCAAATAAAAACATTCTTACCTAAATACTATAGGTCTGAGTCATCATCCTTTTCCTCAATTTTTTTTAATGATTTCAAGGTAGGTACAGTAGGCATTTCATAATGTTGTCTATAGCTCCACCTTGTGGTTTTAAGTCAGAGTGACAAGAAACTTCTTTGAGGATTTTTGTGATTTTGTGTCCGTCTTCTTTTTCCCTCTTACTCTCTTTGTCTGTAATACACAGCTTCATCTTTTAAATAATTTCTGTCCTTCACTTGCACCACTAAAAGACACAGAAAACACCTGACACAAGTCTCCTCTCTATCATACAATGTGGGTTCAATCCACAACCTCCATGATTTCATAGTGCATGTTTTTGTCTCCTGTTGTTGACAGCATTTCACTGGTTTAGTGGTGAGCGTCCCTCAAAGTGATACATGCACTGCAGCAGATTATGCGGGGTGAACTTTGTGTAGTACAAACACTTGGCTGTGAACTCATCCTACAGTGTGAATGTAGACAGGATGCACTAAAACTGAGAAGAAAAATCAATGAGCCAGCTAAGGTAATGGGGCCATGAGAAGCAGTATACAAGTCAGAGTAATCACAGTAAGCACTGCAGCATTCCTTTAAATGTAAAAGATTATATATCAGGTCCTTAAGTCTAAAACGTGTGTGTTTTGACAAATATTGAGTGCAGATTATTGGGTTCATTGTGTGTGCTTCTCACTTTGTGCCAATGGCCACTGTCTATTTCTGTGGTTCCAGTTATATGGGACTGTCTTTAGGAATGAGCCAGACTCTATTACACCCTGAGCCCTCCCTCAGAAGCTCTGCTAAAGTAACAGCTGATGTCACTCCTGCTTAAAGACACACGCACGCACGCACGCGTGCACACACACACACACACACACACACACACACACACACACACACACACACACACACACACACACACACACACACACACACACACACACACACACACACACACACACACACACACAAGGTCTCTTACACCTTCCTCTCCCCACGACATCAGCACTTGGCACAGGGGAGGCTCCAGAGCACGCTCACAACCCAAGACTTGAATCCCAGGTTGCAGCAGAGAGAGAGAGAGAGAGAGAGAGAGAGAGAGAGAGAGAGAGAGAGAGAGAGAGAGAGAGAGAGAGAGAGAGCGAGAGCGAGAGCGAGAGCGAGAGAGAGAGAGAGGAGAGAGAGAGAGAGAGAGAGAGAGAGAGAGAGAGAGAGAGAGAGAGAGGAGGTGAGGGCAGTTCAAAGACCCTCAGCACCCACATGTGCCTGGGTGGATCATGGAGCTGCACTGTCTTCCTACTGAGACCCCAACCACAGCCAGCTCCTGCTCCACGGACCCCTTGTACGACAACTGCCCACCTTTTGCCCAGCGAGGGAGCAAAAGGGCAAAGGCAATGGAGAGCAGGGTTGTGTGCCCGGCTGTAACCAGACTCTCAGGCCCCTGCTGCCCTCCACCTTGTCCGGCCCCAGCTGTGGCTGAGGGTCCCTCACTGCTCAATGGGGGAAGAGAGACTGGCACCTGGCCAGATCACAGCTACTGCAGCTGGAGAGGAGCTTTGGGAAGACAGGGCTGTGAAGCAGAGCGGGGTCCCATCATAAACAGAGCCAGAGAAGATCAGGGAGGACGCTGGGGAGTTGAGGACAGAGGTAATCAGAACCAGAGCCCAAATCCATCGCAGAGCGAGGAGCACCGGAGCGCTCTCTCTGTGTACGATAACCTCCCTGAAGCTGTCACCCCCGACGGCCTCCAAGACGTCTTTGAGATGGAAACAAGCTTCCAGGAGCAGATGTACCAGGCATGGCTCCCTGAGCACTTCCAGGGACTGATGGACAGCGAGGGAGTGAGTGAAGGCAAGAGCGCCTGGTCCTCCTGTGAGATCATCCTCGCTGACAATAACCAGGACCAGAACCCAGACGAAGACAAAAAGCATGATCGGGAGCCAGAGCTGGACTCTGGATTTCAGCGGGGGGACCCGATGCTGCAGCTCCAGATGTCCCCCCCTCAACAGCGTCTTACAGCAACTTCCCCTCAGCTACCCCAGTCTGAGAGCCAGGTTCTGTGGCCCTCAGCTGAAACCCAGCAGCCATCCTGGTCTCCCAGGGTGCCCCCCCCTGTACCCCTGGCAGACCCCTCTGCCAGCGCCCTCCGCAGCATCCTCACTGGTCTCCAACAGCAAATAGTCCGACAGAGGGAGGAGTACGAGGCACGAATACTCAGGTAACGTTCATTTATTTTTTCTTCTCCATTTCAAACCAAGCAAACATAATATGGATAAGTTACACCATGACAAAGACAAATGACATGTCCTGAATTTAATGTGCTTTTGGCTTTAGTATCACACTTTCAGTTCACTGACTTGAGATGTTCCCAGTTCTTGGTGTATTGCTGTGGAGGGTGACACAATGTTCCCAGGCCCATAAATCGTGTGTCCACTCAGCTGTGCTGCTCAGTTGACCTCCAGCAGTTCACCCTGTATCCTGTTTAGTTTGAAGCACACCAACAACTGTTTTTAGTTCACATGAACATTTCCCATCATTGAAAGTACTAAGATTATTACTAATTAAGTCCTTATAACTTCATTCTTTTATCCACTTTTGTGTTTTCAGTGTACTGTGGACATTTCTACATATCACACTTGGATGTGTCATATAATGTTGCACTGACCTAAGACAGTGAGGCCTCCTGTTGGTAAATAGCGGTTTGGTTTTACGTTTAAAAAAAGCACATCCTGTGTGGTTGACCTATAGAAACAGCTCATGGCATTGGAAAGAGAGCTAATTTAAGGGGCCATGCTGCTGACCTAGACACAACACATACCTCATTTATTACTGATATAGATAGAGCAAGTCTCAGTGTAAGGTCACTGGTACTGGTTGGCAAGGACAAGAGGAAAATGGCAATACTTATAGCTTAAAGTAAAACATATAAGCCACCTGTTCTAACAACCATTTAAGGCATCAAGAATCAGACCTATTAAAAAAAACTATCAACATACATGTTAGATTGACTCAAAAATACACTGCTGGCCATTGCTAGAAACCTAACATAGATCTCAGTCTTTCATTCACCCTAATGCAACCCTCTTCTTTGTGTATTTACCATCAGCTTAGAGCAGAGAAATGAAGAACTGCAGGTCGAGGTGGTTCGGTTGAAAACAAACCTCTCACAGCAGCGACACTGGTACCAGGCCGTCGAGGATAAGATCACTGAGTCTGAAAGGATCCGGGCCGCCGCAGAACAACGCAACACCACTCTGCAGAAGGAGATGGAGCAGTTCTTCGACACCTTCGGAGAGCTCAACAATGAGGCCAAGAAGACAGAGTATATCGTCAAAAGCTTTTGAAAAGAGAATATATGAATTGTATGGAATTAAATGAATTGTGTGTGGTGAAATTAACTGTATGTGAGAAAGACTGGTTAGTCTTTAAACTCTAGTAAGTATCATGTAAAGTAGTTTGTCACTATCAAAGCCAAATATTTCCATCTCTAATTGAGAATGGTTTAAGTGGTCTGCAGTTATTTCTTCATTGAGAATATACAAAACATCACTGAAAGAATAATCACTGATGTCCACTTTATTTGTTACGTAAGGGCAAAGATGTTGGCCGGGGGATTATATTGTGGTAATCAGACATCTCTGACAATGAAAGGAGAAATAAACAAAACAAAAATGTGAGCTGCACAGTGTATACAATGAAAATGTGTTTTCTTTTATAACATGGTGAAAGATGTTCTGATCACTGTAATGCTCAGTCCTTATCTGATAAGATTTGTGGGGGTAAATCAGCCGCTCCTCACGTCATTAAAGGTATGACTGAAAGAATAAGGTCATAGTTATTTTAAAAGGAAAATATACCGTACAATAATAAAGTTCTCTGCGACTCCATAGTGTCATAATTCTGCATGTCCATCACACTGTGCAATGAGTTCTGCAGAAAGCAGCTCCAGTCCATTTCCACCATCATCATCATCATCATCATCATCATCGAGTTTCCATTATGAATCCTTAAGTCCAGATTTTCATTCAGTCTCATTTTAAACTTCCACGTGTCTTTTTGTTGAGGGGTCAACTTCCTCCACAGACTTTTACCTTACAACCAGGCGCCTGCTGTTTTTAAAGGAGATAATGAAGGAGATAATTGCAGTACATTTATATAACACACGCAGTCGCTTACAAGGCAAAGAAAATACAACATCTGGATCAAACATTCAGAACATCGAGGTACTGGAAGTAAAATAAATGAACGGATTATTTCTTTATAACAAGAACTACGGTAACTTATTGGCATCTCTAATGCCTTCATGCAACTTAAACACCATTATTTGTGTTTTACTGCCTACAGGTGTTCTATAAGAAGTCTGATTCACGATGGGTTTTGGGACTGCTCCAGTACTGATGGAATGGTCTAGAAAAGGAGCAGCCGATGCGTTGATTTGTGAATGAAATGTTTCGACAAGAGGCTGATTTGACCCGGGGCCACGACGTGACTGTGTGCAACATTTGGCAAGAACACAACAATAAATACAACATGTATCTTTTTGCCTCTCCAACATTTACAAGATTATGATTTTGATATACACATTGTTAGTCGGTACCTTATGTCCAATGGAGGTGCAATATATAGTGCTAAAGATATGTTGAATTTGTAACAAATGAGCACACCTTATCTATAGGTAATGAAAGGGTTTACAGTCACTATGAGTGCCAGAGCGGGACATCATTTAAAAACAGAAAATAATATCAGGACATAAAAATGTAACACTGCAATCCCAGCTTTCCCTAGCTGTCAGGAGGAAGAGTTTAAAATCCACACCACTCAAGGCAATTACTTAAAAACAAAGTGTCCGCTGTGGAGAGGATCGATCCAACTCTGGATGAGTGTTTGATCCTCAGATGGACATTAAATGGTTGGTGCGATCGACTTATGGTGAGTTTTTGTTCATATAGGCTTATCATGCATGAGAGCAGCTGTGGTCTATGTTCAGTGCGTCTATGCTCTAATTTGATAACCTCTGGTCTCAATGTAATATTTGCTAAAAAAATAAAACTATTAAAATACAGGCATACAGAACAGACAACAATCTCCCACCTACTCCTGGGAACCCGAAAATCAATCTGGATGCATGTATACTTGACGAGAGGTAAACAATATCCACAAAGAAGACCAACCTTTGACCCAACAGATAGAATATAAAGCTCTCTATTCAGAACGAATAGACAGACTTTGACCTCCTGGCAGCAGTCCAAAACAAAGTTTGATATTGAAAAGAGCAACAACATCCACTAGGTGACACACACAGAAAGAAAATAGAAAAATAGACCTATTCTTCGAGGTTACGGAGGAGAAAAGAAAGAAGAGGGAGTAAAGAGAAGAAATGAAGGCGGTAGTTGATTGATATTTGGAAATTGTAAATGGGAGGACCGAGGCGATGTGTTCACTGACTCTCGTCCAGCGCTCCCGTCAGCGTGTCGATGCTGCTGCTGTCCGTGTCCGACGCCAGGGTGTGCTCCGTGGACATGGACGAGATGTCGTTGGCTGATGAAGACTGGGAGGCGGACCCTGACACCACATCTGAATCACACACACGATGGAGAGAACCAGAATATCGTTCAGGTCATTATACCAATAATATATAGAGTTAAAACAGTGCGTTTACTGCCATAAATAGTGGGTTGGACGTGACCACTAACATATTATTGCATCTAATGAATAAAGATGGAGCATGGGTGTACCTGAGCAGTCTTCTTTCATCAGTCCATTCTTGTTCCTCTCTTCCCAATCTATCACCTCTTCATAAATGAGTTCTGTGGAAACGCAGAAAAAGTTAGGTGTCACCAGTGTGTGCTCAGAATGCAGCCTTTCAGATGCATTAGAAATAGTGTATTATTGGCCAAATATGTGTTAATTAACTGAGGTGAATCCATCAGCTCGAAGAAATCTCATCAACTGCTGGTAATTGGTCTTGTTTTTAATTATTATTTGCACACACATGTTTTTTTAGGATGATTTGTCAGAGTCTTGTAACACAAACAAAGATGATTTTTTTTCATGTGTATAGAATATCTACGTATAAATAGGTAGATATGGAAGAAACATGATTCTTAATAGGGTTAAGAGTTTCCTGTATCTTTTGGAATCAGAACATGAATGAAGTTTGGCTGCACTGCAGACAGATGGCCCTAGAGGGCAGTGGCTCCCACCTTTCCATCGCTCGATGGAGTGCTCTCTCTCTTCCAGCTGCTTATCTGAAATCTGGGGAGGAGGCTGTGAAACAAAGAGAGAAACATTTATCAGCCAGCTCTCACACACACACACACACACACACACACACACACACACACACACACACACACACACACACACACACACACACACACACACACACACACACACACCACACCACACACACACACACACACACACACACACACACACACACACACACACACACACACACACACACACACACACACACACACACACACACACACACACACACACACACACACACACACACACCACACACACACACACACACACACACACACACACACACACACACACACACACACACACACACACACACACACACACACACACACACACACACACACACACACACACACACACACACACACACACACACACACACACACACACACACACACACACACACACACACACACACAGCTGAAGTGAACCGACACCAGCACAGTTTCCTCACCGCGTCGGCCTCTCCGGGGTCGTACCACACGTGGATGTAGGGGTGATTGAGGGCTTCTTCTACGGAGATGCGGCATTCAGGATCAACGACCAGCATTTTGGAAAGCAGGTCTCGTGCTTGACCTGCTGTTATGGCAACAGAGGAAGGGCAGTGTTACTATGGAAACAGGCCCATGACATGATTTCCTTTAACAGTCTTTATGATAACTGATTACTTCCCCTTGCAGAGTTGGGTAACATCTCCGGGAATGTCAAGATGTGTTCTTTGTTTGGCTGATCTTACTCTAAATGCCACAGAGTAGGGCAGAACAACTGTTGACCTGCATGGTCACTCTCTGAACTTGTTGTATAAGAGATCCCGTTTTTTACCTCTATGTCTGTAATTTAGTTAGAAACTGTCTGGTCACATCAATATATTGCAGGCAAATATCTTTGACTAAAAAGGTTAAAAAACCATGAAACTTGACAATTCTCTGAAACATCTATGCAGGGGAACGACAACTATATGCATTTAAAGTACAACAATTATTTTGGATAATTCTTACTCTTTATTTTATCATGTTCTGAGTCAGAGGGAAAGGCCCAGTCCGGGAAAAGCTCATCTAAGCTGACTCCAGGATACTGCGGCTTGTTCATCACATAGTTCCTCACGGTCTCCATCAGCCGGTTCATAAACTCCAGGCTGGGCGTGCCCAGAACCTCGATCACCTTATTCCACTGGTCGATGTCTGCACAGCACACTCGTTAGGGACAACTCAGCATCATTATGGGCTAGTACATGTGTCAGCAAATGAGAGGAACATTTGATAAGGCACAGAACCCAGAGATAAATACATGAAATGAAAGCACTTTGCATAATCTGAACACATTATACAGACAAGACAAATATGTGGAGCTGTGAGGCTGTACTGAGCCACAGTGCATATTTGAACAAGGTGCTAACATTAGCTTGCTAATATATTCAAAATGACAATGTGGAAAATAAAAACCTGAGAGTGCTACTACAGTTAGTACAACTATGCTGAAGGAAACATGAATGTATAAGCTAATAGCAATATATACGATTTATAAAAGAAAAACCTGGACCTGCTCGGCTGACTAACAATTGCAGTAAAAGCCATTATTTCCCCTGGTGAAAAGCAATCTATCCTCGGATCGCACTGCGTCCTTCATCTTTTCTCAGCTATTCAGGTGAGAATGGACAGCGGCGCTGAAACGAGCTGGTGAGGGAAGAGGTGCCAAACCCATTAGAAACAGAGAAACGGCCAATAAAAATGCAAATTATTTGAATTCCGCTATCAATTAAGGGGATTATAGCTTCCCGAAAAACAGCTCTACAGATGTATAATCTTTGAAGAGGGCAGGAAACACACAAAGCTCTGTTTGCTGGAAAACATGAGAAGTCCAATTTAACAGATTGTGTTTAGAGGGCGGAAATGCAAAATGTCTTGCCGCTCAAGTGTGCTGTTAGAAAAATAAGACAAGATGAGTGAAATACTTTGTGTTAAGAAAAGGTTTGATGGAGGGTGTTGATGGATGACAACAACGGAGAGGATAAGAGCAATGAAGGATACGATCTGTTCCCTGGAAGATGACGCTGCCCTTCACCATCTCTCCCATGATGCACCCCACTGACCAGATGTCCACTGGGAACAGAGAAACATAACAACACACATGCAGAACATAATTGTAACATTTATAGCATAATATCAAACACATAATATAGTATAATGCGTGTGAAATAAACAGTAGAACAACTCTTCAGATGTTGCCAGCTGAGCAACATGCTCCATGGTTTACATGTGAATGGCAAACAAATACATGCAGAACAGTAGCTGAGGTCTCATTGGTCCATCCTGTAGCCGAGCCATGGCCTGATGCTTTCATCATATTCATCTTAAGGCTGTCTCCTCTCTCTCTCTGGCCAGACGCAGCCTTCCAGGCTTTTCTCCTCTCCTCTGCTGCTCTGCTTATCAGTCTACACAGCTGTTGCTCTCTTCATCACTCCTCCTGTGTGTGCGCTCAGCAGAGTAGCATGCAAGTAGTTTCTTTTATCTGGGTTGGCTGTTAGCTAAAGCGTGCACGCGTGGAAAATAACCATTAACTTCTCTCTTCCCTCTATTTTCACTTTTACTGAAGCTGAACGGTCTGTGTGCTCCTTAAACGTCTCCAGATCATACAAACCACTCCAGGTCAAATCCTCAAACACAATGCGTACATGTCTTACACTGTTCATTGTGTTTAACAGGGTAGGTACACTTTAGACTAGGAACAACTGTTTTTCTGTTAGGCCAGTCCAACTAAAGCTACAAAAAAGCATTTTGACCACTTCCTGGTTCAAATCCTAGCATTAGATCATTGTTATTGCATCACCTTGTAGTTAAGCTAGTTAAACAATACTTTCATCTCAACCCTGTTTGTTGACAAATTATTATTTATAAAAATGTGTTAATTTGTTTAAAAAGAAAAATTCGATATAAAAGTGTGATGCCTTTAGAGGTCAGAGCCTCTGAAAATGTGCAAAATCTGGTAGCTTAAGCCAATTATGATATATTAAGGGTTAATTTGATATCGACCCAAAAAGCAACAACAAAAAGAAATCCTTTCTACGAGTGTTCAGGCCCCCTGTGGTGCTTTGACCTCTAATAACCAGCTGTAGCCGACTGATAGTGGATCAAAGTCTTTTCACTGTGCACTTTTTATTCTGAACTGCCAGCATCTTCTGTTCAGCTGTGATGTTCTTTCTATTTAATGCTTGTTGTGCCAGTTGTTAACAATCAGGTCTGTTGGACAAACGGTGCAATGTAAATAAACCTCTGCATTATCTTCTGTGATATTAAACCACTCTATATGTAATGTTAGAATGATCAACCAATAATGATGGCTCTTTGTAGTCAGAGCTTTCAGCGTCACCTTGAAATCAGGACCACTGACTCAGTGGTTATTTTCAAAAAAGCACTCAAAAACATCTGTTTGTCAAGGCCTTCAGCCTCAGTTAACTCTCTAAATGTTTGCGCTCAGCCTTTCTTTATTTTCTTTATTTATCTTCTTATTTTCTCGTCCCTGTTGAAATTTAATTTAATTTAATTTAATTGTTTATTTGGCAGGGACAATGCACAGTAATGAACACTTAAAACATTCAAATGTGTCAAGCGTAACAGTGCCAGATTTAGCTTTGAGCTCATTTGTGTGACTGTCTTTCCCTTTCGTCGTCCCCGTACGGCCCTTTTCTTATTGTAAATTGTCCTTGGGTTTCATGAAAGGTTAATACAAGTTATTATTATTAACATTTATAAAACTCTTTGAGGTATTTAAAAAAAAAAAATCAAGAG